TCATCATGGCTAGGCTTCGCAAACGAAGATTTGGGAAGGCTCTATCCACATTTGTTACAGATGCAGAAATATACAAATAAAACCACATTTAACCCCAGGTTTTTTGTCATATTGCAGACTGTGACATGGCTAGGTTTAGATCTGCCTCACATGCATGGACAGGCATCCCAGTCCAGGCTGGGGGTGTTCCCAGGACATAAGAGAAGACCTGGAGCACCCCGCGAGGTCTGTTCAGGCAGTCAGCAGCCTACAGCAGATGCACACAGTCAACCAAAGGAGATAAAGACAGGTTGGTTGGCGATGCCACAGCCACCCTTTCTGGTTCCGCACAGATAGCTATCAAGTTGCAAAACACACACTCCCTGTCCCATTCTTCTCCTTTGTCTGCATGAAGCAACACAAAACCACATGCAGGCTTTCACTGTCAATATAAGCCATACTATTCTTGTAATTCAATCCAGGTCCACAGCCTGAGAGCTCCTTTTCCTCCCTTCCCCCTTTCCCCCTCTTTGCTCCCCTCACCACTTGCCTCTCTCCAACCTTGTTTAGGTTTACATGCTGTGTCATTAAATTCCAGAACAGTAAACACTGCAATCTTTCTAAGCACCCACACACTGCTTTCTAGGTTGAAAATTAGACATGGGGTTAATTTCATTCCTGCAAGGACTCTGCCTTTTATTTTTCTTTACGTCCAACTCAAAGGATGCTTTTGGTAGATGCATAGTGGGAAAAAAAAAATAATGTTTGCTCTCTGTTTCCTCCCTACACTCCCCCCCCTTCTCCACTCCCACCCATCAGCCATAAAACAACACAGCCCAGCCAGATCCCAAACTGAAAGCAAGACAAAGCACCCACACAGCCCCCAGTTCCATTCAGCAGAAATGGGCCACTCTGGGGTAGCCCAGGATCTACAAGTAGGCCAGACAGAAATAAACAGAGTAAACAAAGAGTATCCTGTCCAAGCAGAGAGAAGCTAAAGAGAGTGATGTCTTTCATTAACATGCAAGGCAGGGATGCAAGCACACAGACAGTCAAAGGCATCACTGGAGCTTGCTAGGAGTACAGGAGGAAAGCAACACATGATCGTGCTTTTACAAGGACCCAAAGCACAACACCCAACCGTACACTGGGCACAATTGCATATCTCGCCTTCCAAGGACCACAACAAGGCAGCCACCCACACACACCCCCCACCACCCCTAAACCTCAGAGAGGCTGGCCCCAAGCCTGCTGCAACACAGCATGGCTCTCCAGAAGGCCGGGTAGGGAGCGGCACACACAGGTACGGTACCGGGCAACCAGGCCTGTGTAAATGTCAGAGCCTATGACATTTAAAAACAGTGTAGCTGTCTTTTTAGGAAAGAAATGGGAAAGAGAGAGAAAAGCACAGCACAGCCATAGCAACAGGTCAAGTGTTTGCTGCGGGTCTTGAGGAGAAAGGGTGATGCAGCGCGTGTGCCTTCTCCGTTTTCAGAGCATTTGTCACGTAATGAAATCATTAGCCTGGGAATGGATAGGAAATTTTGGGTTAGTTTTTCTGGTACAAGCTGCTCTGAAGTCCATACAGATCCATGTGTGAAAGTCCATGGTGTGTATACCCTTGTGTCTCCCATAACACAGCCATCACAAACAACCCTCACATTTTTCCAGACTTGTAGGAAAAATGCAGTAAATGGAGAGGTGGGGGAAGAGTCAGGAGTTTGTAGCAAAACAGCAGCCTGTCGGCTGCAAGTCTGCTCAGTTATTGGAAAAAATTGAACATGCTGCTTTTTTTAAACAGCCTAATCATATTTACTATTACATCAGACTTGCCCACCACAAATTGTTCTCATACAATGGAAGAATTTTTAATCTAATATCTTGGACTCAGATAATTTCCCAGCTGCAGAACTGCAATAATTTCCCATCTTCTCATTATTGAGATAGGTCGACTAACTTGGATATGTTTTAGTTTCAGAGTGAGATTATCGCCCTTTATTGTACTTGAGAGAGAAGGGGTGACTTACAGTAAAATAACTTTGTTTTCCCCAAGTCAGCTCTTACAGTCTGCTTCTCTGTGATGGAGATAGGTCTTTGCTGTTGCATTTCCCTTAGCCCCTTAACTTTCCACACTTTCTCTTCCTCTCTCAGAACACTACACTGACAGCAACTCCTATTTTACTCAAAGAAAATATACTATTCAAGAAATCCCTAAAATAATTCCTTAAAACAAAAGTCTCATGGACAAAACATTTTCTTGTTTAAAATACCTTTGAAAAAGTTTATTAAATACCCCACAACCCAGTACTACCGGTCAAATCCTGCCTGCTTTGTTCATTTGTTTTCAGGCATATTTACAGAAGAAGAATTGCAAGGAAAAAAAAGGATGATAAGGCCTGAAGCTCTGATCACATGTACAGTAGAGCAAAACAGGAAAACTCCATTTATTTCAGTAGAAGTGATTTACACCCAAGTAAGGGAGAAGACAAGCAAATCCTTGAATTTATGCCATTACAAATTGAAAAATGCCGCTTACTCCCACAATTTTCTTGAGAGATTTTGATATTTAATGTTTTCTTCTTAAATTCTCAGGTCCTAGATTTACTCTACTATGTCAAAGGAACATCCTCTCCTTTTTATTTTTTTTTTTTTAGAGTTTCTAGCAATCATTTTCTAGGAGAAAAGCCAGAAACCATGAGACGAGGGCACTCTTGGACTGCAAGGCTATATGTGTTGCAGTCATTCTCTTTTAGATCTCACTGGTGTTCAGGGCTTTTCAACCTGTGCTACTTTGCAGACACAAATTCAACATTGGAAATGTATGAATTACACATATGCAGATTCCCATACAGCACATATCAGTTCATTCCTCTTAGTCACCATTCATTAATTCCTTTGAAATAAATGTTCATGGGTTGAAAAGCACTAGTCTGATGATTTAGTGGGAGTGTGGCTCATGTGTTTTTCCTGCACAACATTAGCAATACTAAGAAAGAGCTAGCCTATTTAAAGGAAGACTGTCTAAAAAGCTAGTTCAGTGGAAAGACATGGTTGCATAAACAAAGAAGTGCAAGAACTTCTTAACATTATAGATGTAAGGAAAAAAAAAAGGAATAAACCTTTTGCTACTTTCTATTAAAAAAAAAATTAAATCCAGCCCTAACAAGCCACTGCTCATGCACAGTTGTGCCGCTTGCAGCTAAACCCCTAAAACCACCCCTATTCCCAGGATGGTGATGGGCAACCTCTGTTTCCCCCCTGCTGGGAAAGGGAAAGTGGATGATGTCCTCTACTGACTGCAGTGAGAGCACTTCTGTCCCTGAAAATGCTCTCATAGAGAACAGCCTGCAGTATAAAAGCAGTGCTCCCATTACTGGTGCGTTGCTATGGGCACTATTCTAAGAAAGCAGCCACAGGAGCAGATCCAGAAAAAATGGCAAAATATATGAGGGAAGAAAGAAAAATTGCAAAGAGCCTGGACTCATCCCTGCCTGTTTCTACTGGCAGTGATAGGATGGTAAGGAAGATGGATGGTGAAATGTCACAGTGTTGGACGTACAGCCTGGCAGTGCTTGTGGCTTTGCATCACTCGACTCTATTTCAAAACCCTATCTGGAATTGTTATTTCTTGGTATCCCAAGATATAATTTCTCAGCTACCTTTATTTTATTTTTCTTCCTAAAAGTTAGGAAAATCAAGTTTGTCTTTTTTTCAGTAGCCTGCTTTAAGTTAATTTAATGAATGCTATTCTGGTAATGAAATTTGCCTAACAGATCATATGATCATTTTGGATCCTAGTTCCCAAAAACTTGCCACTTGTACACCGGCAGAGGGCAAGCCTATCTACAATGTATCAAAATAATTTAATCTCTAGGCACCTTTACCTACATCAAGTGTTAGCAGGTGACTATTGATGTGTGGATTTCACCACCAAGGAGCTACAGAATGAGTAGCTTTATGCTATCCAGATGAACTGAAACCAGAAGAGTGAAGGTGAACTGGTCTGTATTGCACACCACCAGCAACCCTTGTAAGTTAGTCACCCTGCCAATTCCAGTTCAAATTAATCTAGAGCGGATTAAGTCCACCTTTTATGCTATTTTCTAAATGAAATCAGATGTACATGCAAAAGCGGTATTTAAAAGGGTTTTATCTAATAATGAGTCAGATATTGACAGAACAATCACCATGAAGACCAAGGTAAGAAGCAATAAATTCCCATTAATAATTCAAATCTCAGCATGGGTATTGATGACCATGCACTTAAAAGAGAAAACTGGGCAGCATCTGGAATTGGCCCAGATTTCCTGAAAATTTGTTGGACTGCAACAGAGACACACTAGAGAGATTTTACTGTAAGATCCAACCAGAGAAATGGCAGCTCCTCATTATTAAGATATGTTGGACCCTCAGCAACATTACTGAAATTGAGCAAGGAACAGAATGTAGCATTAACAGGCTACTGAAAGAAGATGGGTGAGAAGAATACGGGAACAAAATCTGGAGGCAGAATCCCAGTACATCCCCTTCTCCCAGTCCCAGTATTTGGGGTACAGAGCAACAGCATTCTGCAGTATCTAACTCCAGTTACTGCTTAGGAGCAAGCAACATTAAAAGCTTTAAAATAAATGTATACAATCAGCAAAAGTAAAAACAAACAGAAAGGTCATAGGAGCCAAAACCACTCAGAACAAACCAGTTGGGGCTAGTTAACATAATCTGCTCTATTCACATAACTTAGTTTCACTGAGGGCATGAACTTCCATGAAAAAGCTCAAGTAATTAACTGCAGAAGTTTACACATTTTCTTTCCCTCAAGTTTACTTTACCCTGAAATAAAAGCTGCTTGCACACAACTGCTTCTACCAATTCATTCAAAAAGCTGAGTTTTGCTTGTCCTTTCCAGAGGGAAATGCTGGAAGAGATGGTATCACTGAAGTGTAGGATTCCTTTCAATTCCTTCCACCTCCTGTCCACTCTTCCCATCACTTTGGATCGATACAAAGAAAAACATACTCTACCTCACTGAAAAAGAGCAGATTTCCAATGAAAGGAAGAGGTGGAGGATGTCGGATCCCGACTCTGCTTAGTTTGGAGAATGCAGAGGTGGAGTACCTGGGGAAAAAAAAACGTAGTAAGTTAATTTTTGATCTTTTCATGGTAGGACTTGCCACAGTAACAAGTTCAGATGACTTCCCTAGATTCAGGAGGGAGAAGATGCTTTCTGTATTGGCTAAACAGAACTGCCAATGAGATGACATTGCTCAGCAGCTCCTCAGGTCACAGAAATAAATGCAATACACTGGTGCTTCAGAGAGGGCAAAAGAACCAAGGGACTCAAACACAGGCCTGCAAATTGAGCAGTGGAATTAGAGAACTGCCTCTCTTCCCACAGAAGGTCTTATAAGTCAGAAGTGACTCTCCAAAGCTACGTGAGGTTACAAACGAGATCAAAAGAAGCATTTGGGGTTTGACTTCTGTGGTACAGCTGGGAAAGGAACAAGACAGATTTTCAGACTATTATTTTCTTCTTCAATCACCTCTACCTATATAGATCACAGAACAAGAATTCAAACTAGTCTCTGTTGTCCATGAGCCAAGACAGTGTCAGTACGTTCAAGTCAAGCCTAGTATTTGGGCCAGATATGCTGATCAAGTGATTTTTAGAGCTGCCAGTCAGCAAATTAAACAAATATAAAAAATATGGGGAAACAAAACCCAGACTGAAAAGCTTCATGCATCCCTTGTTTCAGATGAAACTGTGGCACATTGACAGGGACAATATTGGAAAAAAAGGGGAAAAAAAACCCAACCCCAGAGCCTTTTTTTCCCCCTCCCCTCCCCCTTTCTTAATACAAACAATGGATTTAAGTCAATGGACTTCAATTAGTGAAACCTGAAAGAGCAGGAGCTAACAGCAGCAGCTTTGATTACCAAAAGACACAACAATACTAAATACTATCATGCTGAACACCATCACTGGGAGGACCTGGGCAAAAGATCTTTAAGATCATTAAAGGTTATTATGTCTATATTAGCACCTTATATCAGAGTATTGGTATAGTTTTAAAGCTCTCCCTCTACACGATGGTTCTGTGCCCAGGGCAGTTTTGGCACATGAAACCACGCTTCTGTGAGAGGAAACTGAACTCAAAGCTCTGTTCCAATCCTTCACCTTTTATCAGGGCAGTAATAAGCAGTCATTCAGCTTGAATCCCAAGTGCAGTGAGACTGCTTAGACCTGGTGAGCAAATCAAATCTAATGCAAAATAAAAACTGTGAACTGCACATAGTGTAGGTGTTGCAACACCAACTGCTTTAGTCTATTGAGTCCGCAGGCCATCTTAATGACATAAGAGAGACACAGAAGAAGTCATGCCCTCAGATCCCGATGGGCTGGCTCCCTCTTAATCCCACTGTACAGCCTTGGTGACTCTGTAGGTTATGCTAATGCATTGCTATGACTTGGACATCTCTTTCAGTTCCAGTAATCAGCATATGCCTCATTTGAAATGACCTTACATGATGCAGGCAGGTTTAACCTAATGGGCAAACAGCACACAATTCCTGGGGTTCAGTGAAGAGGTAGGAGAGAAAAAAAGAGCTGCTGTTAGAAAATGATCCTTTCCTCCAGCAAGAGGGAAAGGAAAGAATAGTGCTGTGAAGACAAATATATAAAATAAAGAGAATTAGATCTCATGTGATCAGCTAAGCAAAATGGGACTTAAATATCGAGTTAGTAGCTTTTGGTACTTCAATTTCCAGAGATTTCTGGGAGCACAGTACCTATTCTCTTTTGTGAAAATATTTTACAAAAATCATAACCAGAAGATAGGGATTTGATAATTTTTAAATAGCAACTTTTTTTTTTTTTTAATGGGGCAGTACAAGCCTCCAAAAACATAAACCCTCTCAATAGAAATGATGTGTCTTGAGCCTCTGCAAGGACACTATTTCAAGTATGACAGGGTATCATGGAGTAAAGGCACAGAAGTCAACATTTATTACACATTTTATACATATTATTGACTTCTTGGCTACTTAACTGCTTTAAAAAATATGAGGTTTTCCTCAGCTAATACGCTTGGGAAAAGAAATGTTTTAACTTTAAAATGACAAAACAGCCTACATGATACATCTTCTTCCCCAAAGAGAGGATTTTTTTTTTTTTGCTGCTGTTTGAGATCTTCCTAAAGTGTCTTTGTGTCATAGCAAAGTCCTCATCTTCAGTATGTAAACAGTGAAAAAGATGAAAATCCCTGTCAATGGAAACCTGTCAATTTTGCAGGATTCTATTTTTATGTTTTCAGTGTAAAATACATGGCAGATCACAAAACACCAGCCTGGGCTACTGTTAACTGCTCGTTTCACTAAAGACCAGACACACTGTAGACTCCTGGTTTTCATGTACAGCAAAGGGAAGAGTGACTGCAACAGAGGCTTACACTAGACAAAGTAAACTGTGTGATCACCAAATATTTAAAAAGGAACAAAACTAATGAGTACAGTGCACCCAGTTTCACAAGGCAAGAAACACACAGACTGTGAAGACTATTTATGCTTAGATGAGCAGTTCATCATTGTCAGCTTCTGAACATTACTGGCAGCTCCACATAGCTGAGAATTTGCTTTCCTTTTCCCCCTCCTAACATGGTTTTCTCCATTGCTTTTTATTCAGTTATGTTTGAAGTAGGTTTTCGAAAGATAAGGAACCACAGTTTACAATGAGATGGGAGAAAGAAGCCCCATAGTCAAGCTACACACTGAAATATAACAACGAAAGGGTGAGCCCAGTTGGAGGGGAAAAAAAAAAACAAAAAAGAATCTCACCAATAAACACATCCACCTCTAGCCTATGATTTCACAATATTTCTGGTATTGTTGAAATACCTGCAGTTTTACAGAAAAGAAAAGAGTATGCAAGTGACCAAAGACTGATGGGGCTGCATGCACTGAAGAAGGAGGATCTAACACTGCACAGGTAACCTTGCCTTTGGTAATTTCTGATGGAACAGCTTACACTCTGCAACCTTAAATATTTAGAGCTTCCCCCCATCTCTGCAATATTTCAGCTCATTCCCACTATTTTGGGTGGGGGAGAGAGAGAGAGTAGTAGCTTGTGGGTTTCTTTAAAGAAAAAAAAAATAGTCCTGTATAACACACAGTGAACACCAGCAATACACGAATCTGACAGCTTTGTGGCACAACCCTTTGCCTTTTCAGCAGAAGAGACGGATAACTTGAACCAGTTGATTTATGTGATTCGGTTACTCAGCACCCTCATGACACACATTCAGCCAGTAACTCAGTGCTCTGGAAATAGCATCCAGGTTTTGTTGCTGGGAAGGGGAGGTGGGCTAGAAGTTGGACAAGTAGAAACAGGCAGGGTTGCCTTGTAGGCAAAGACACTTGTCTGGACATCTAAGTGAAACAGTTCCAAGCCTGCCTTATCACCAGCGGGAAGTCTTATTTCTCACTCTGCCACTTAACACTCTTCTACATTATTTTATCACAAAAATTAATCTGATATCAGGCAACCTCCTGCTGTTGCTGTGGGCACACACTAAGTGTAGAAGATCAGCCAACGAACTATAAATGCTAAATCAAATGCAAAATCTAGAAATAGAAGAGATACTGAGAGGTGATGGAGATGACCAAAGATATGGAACAATTTCTGTACAAGGAATAAGCAAAGGGGTTACAATCTTAATCATGGAAAAAAGAAGCAACTGATGCGTGCTATGACAAATATTTTTAAGATCCTGCACATCTTACAAAATAAATTAAGAATTATTACCCACTGACTAAAAAATTAATCATAAAATCCACAAATGAATTTTCAGGTGGCAGGATTAAAAATTAAGCATTTTCCCAAGAAATAAATATACTAACTATTGAACTCCTTGTCATGGAATGTTGTCTACTCCAGAAGTTTAAAAAGCTTCAAAAAGTGAATAAATAAATTAATGAAGGGGGGCAGGAAATCAGCAGGCACTTTTAGCTAGTAAATTTAACAAATGTAAGAGAAACACGTGGAAAAGATGAAAGGAAAGGAGGGAAAATTAATCAAATTTATTTTCCTAATCAGGGAACAAGTCTGTAAGCTTCTACTGGCAGAATAAGAGATTAGACTGTTATAAAACCTAAAAGATAAAACCTCAGACACTTAAGCTTTCTTAAGAGGAAGATAGGAAGGAGTCTTTATGTAAAGTGAGAGGCATGAAAAAGATAACACTCTGATGGCAGCAATATTTACTGGACAATCTAGCACACTCTCACTCAAAGGAAAAACATACCCTAATATTTACACATGTAGGGTTTCCTGCACAACTATTAATTTAAAAGCTTGGCATTATATTTTGAGCAAAGTGACAAGACATCAAAAGGAACCAGAGGAACAGCAGTAATGAAGTAGATCGATGAACAATTCAATAACCCTTTGAAGATGTTCAGATGGCCTCTCAGAGTTAGATGCTCTCTGTATATATTTAACACAACTGTTAAAAGAAAGTTAACATGCCAAACACATTCCTGTACACCAGCATGGCAGATATAAGTTCTCTGAAATACTAACTTCTCTCCACAAAACACCATGCAAAAAAATAAGGAGAAACAGATAATTAATATAAATTGTGATGGATATATAATCAACCAAACTAGCCATCTGCCCAGCCAGGTCAGTACTGATCAGTACTGCAAGGAAAAGTAGCAGATAACATTACGGAGCTTCCAATTCTGCATCATAGAGTTCAACTTACTATTGAAATTACCCCAAATTTCTCTCAATAGAAAAAGTGTGTCATTCCTTCTACATGTAAGCAATGCACAACCTAATAATATCTGAAAACTATAAACTAGGACACTGAAATAAAAAAAGTGATGTTATTTAATCTCAGGGTTGGGAGGTACATTATTTTGCAAGGCTGAGTGGGAAAACAAAGTATTTTGCTGAGATAATGCCTGCCAAACAAGAAATAATCACAATGTATTTTTACCTCTTTGTCTCTATTTACATATACCCATACCAGATTCCAGTTAACACTGGGATGCATTTTGCTCACAAAGTAGTGATAATATACAAAATAATGGTAGCCTCCCCAGCATTACAATGATGG